TGATAACTGCGATTTCTGCATGTTTTTTATACCCATTCTTACCTGAGCTTTGTGCATTTATTGCCATATAATAGTCCCAAAATGCTTACAAATGACACTTGATTGCAGGTTTGAGCGACAAGATGACAAATACTAAAGATCGGCTCAAAAAGGAGTGAAATCTGCCAAGTGTCAAGAGACAACTGAAAGGGGGGATCAAAAGGCCCTGCATGGTCCGCAATGTTCTGTCACGCGGCCGCGCAGGAGAGTTCAGAAGCTGGGCATATCCAAGTTCAACCTGCGCGGACCGCACTATTTTGCCACGCGGCCGCGCATGAAAGTTCAGAGGCCATGATATTTTTAAGATAAACTGCGCGATCCGCGCCTCTTCTCGCGCGGTCCGCGCCCAGTTCCAACATGGTCCGCGTCCCTTTTTGTACGGTCCGCGCCTAAGAGAATCAGAGAAGCAATCACTCGAGACAAAAGCCCATGCGACCGTGCACCTAATCAGTGCGGCCCGCGTGGATGAAGTTCATGCGGCCACACATCACTTTTGTGCGGTCCGCGCCCCCCAGTACCAGATGCAAGTAATGAAGACCCAAAGCCCTATGCGGCCGCGCGTCATTTGTGCGCGATCCGCGCCAGACCCTCAGGGGTATTTTTGTCCGGTTTTTCCTGTGTAGTATAAATAGAACATTTTACTTTTTAGCAGCAGTTTTTTTGGAAGGCGGTTCGAGAGCAGAGAGCANGGCCGCGCGTCATTTGTGCGCGGTCCGCGCCAGACCCTCAGGGGTATTTTTGTCTGGTTTTTCCTGTGTAGTATAAATAGAACATTTTACTTTTTAGCAGCAGTTTTTTTGGAAGGCGGTTCGAGAGCAGAGAGCAGCTGGACTCATGTTGCCCTATTATCAGCCTATTTTGGGCCATTTCTTCTAGTTTTAAAGTGGAATCAAGTAGATTAACATTGTAGTTAACTATTATGTGAATTTCATCTATTATTTCTTTGATTTTTGTTACTACTATGTCTATCTAAACCCATTAGGTAGGGTTGTGGCTTAACCCTAGTATGGGAAATTGATGGGTGTGATTGTTTAGTGCATGAATGATGTTGGGTGTTTGCTATTTGGATTAATCTTAAGTTTTCACTAAGATTTGGTGGTTGCAAACACTAAGTCTAGCTTAGTGGGTCTTGACTCTTCTTGAGAAAGAGAGTCTATGACCTCAAGATTAACTCCAACAAGGAATCGGGATGGACCCATGAGAATGGTAGTCCCAATTAACGGGTTAAACCTCGAGAGAGTAATTACCCAACTTGAACCATAAGTTGCTTGGGCAAATTAGCCTACCCAATTGGTCTCGAGAGAGTCAATTGGGCAAAATCACTCTCTCTACCGAGAGGTGTGAGAGTGGGTGTAAAAGGTGCAACGGTTATAGCATAAGCCCCATATTCGTCATTCTTGCATTAGGAATTTCTACCCGTTAGTGGACCACCTAGGTAAATGCTGCATCCCTAGTGCTTTTATCTATCTTGCATACAATTTAGAATCATAATTTTAGCATAACCTAGTTTTACAACTGTAGTTGATAAATTGTAGCTCTTAAACAAAAGAAAACCAAAAATGTTAGAAGATCAATTATGTGCTAAAACACTATCCTAGACCATACAAATACTCGACTCCAATTTGAAGTTCCCTGTGGAAAATCGACCCCGATATCGCTATTGGGTAAAAGTATTAGCGCCCACTCATCCTTAGGTTGACTCTGCTGCGATCAGGATGTCCACTAGAAGAACCAGGCATAGATGAGCCCTGAACTGATAGTGCCTGAGTCGAACTCTGAGCTAGAAGTGCACTGAGAGATGAGTGACCCTGATGTGAACTGTGAGAACCGTGGCCAGATTATCCCCTACGTTGGCCCGAACGGGCTGGCTGAGCATGTCTGAATGGACGACCTCTACTGTGCTGAAACTGACCTCCCGAAGGGACATTACCAAAACTGCTAGATCCCTGAGGCCTCTTGGCCTCCCTCTCAACTCGCTCGTAACGGCGAACCGACTCTTTCTCGAGCAATGTCAACCACCTCCTCAAAAGAAGTACCAGACACCTCTCTCTAGTCATAAAAATATGTAACTGATAAGAGAGGTCATCCACAAATCTCCTTATCCTCTCCTTGTCTGTAGGAACCAACAAAACAGCATGATGGGCTAACTTAGAGAACTTTATCTCGTACTGCGTCACCGTCATATCATCCTGACGCAACTGCTCGAACTGCCTACGCAGCTCCTCTCTGCGGGACTACGGCACATACTTCTCCAATAAGAGAGCGGAGAACTGCTGTCAGGTAAGAGGAGCTGCACCAATAGGCCTACGCCTCTCATAAGCCTTCCACAAAGTGAAGGCAGCTCCAGAAATCTAAAAAATAGCAGAATACCCGATGTACGTAACATCCTCTGACACTTGTCCAAGAAACCCTTGGCATCCTCGTCCTCTACACCACTGAAAGTCAGAAGCTGAAATCTACTAAACCTATCCAATTGATGCTACTCGTCATCAAGCATAACTGGAACCACATAATCCCTAATTTACACTCTCCAATTTCAAGCCCTAATTCCCAATTTTAGGCTTTAAATCCCACTAAGTTCGAATCCCTCTTCAATCCCTCTCAAAAAGCTTCAAAACCGGCCAACAATGGTGAGAAATGGCCTAAAAATTGCGAAGTTGGCTTTATATACATTCTGTCCAGGTGATTTTCCTTAATCGCGATAGCGGAAGGGCCATCGCAATCCCGAAGAACAAACTTAGCTGGCTCTAGAAATAACTCTACGCGAATGCGACGATACCTATGTGAACGCGATGCTCTACCCATGACTCCTACGCGATCGCGGACCACTGAACACGTTCGCGAAGAACAAACGTGTGGCCCCAGCTTTGGTCCACTTAACCTTACGCGAACGCGACTTAACCTACGCGTTCGCGATGCTTCACCTGATCAACCATCACGATCGTAGCCCTTAATACGCGAACGTGAAGAACAAACTTGACTGCCTCAAACATGGTCTGATAACCTCCTGAAGCTCACCCGAGTAACCAAACATGCCAACACATCCCATAACATCATTCAAACTTGTTCCAACCTTCGGAACGCTCAAAACAGCATCAAAACATCAAATCACCCTCGGATTCAAGCCTAAGGATTCCAAAACTTCCGAATTTTGAATTCAATAAAAATGTCTATCAAATCTCGTCCGAATGACCTGAAATTTTACACACACATCCCAAATGCCACCATGGACCTACTCCAATTTCCGGAATTCCATTCCGACCCTGATATCAAAATTTGCCGACCGGAAAATGCCAAATTTCTAATTTTGCCAATTCAAGCCTAAATCTACCACAGACCTTCAAAATACATTCTGATCATGCTCCTAAGTCCCAAATCACCTAACGAAGCTATCCGAACCATCAGAATTCACATTCGAGACCTTCTACCCATAAGTCAACATTCGATTGACTTTTCCAACTCAAACTTACTCAAAAGAGACTAAGTGCCTCATTCCTCTACAAAACCACTCCGAACCCGAACCAACCAACCTGATACCACATAATACAGCTGAACAAGACATAAAGAAGCAGAAATAAGGGAAATGAAGCGGTAACTCATGAAACGACCGGCCGGGTCATTACAATTGTAGGGGTTAAGATACTAAAGTTCATAGTCCTTTGGTTTTGAGTTGTAACCTAAAAATTGCTCTTGTTGTTCATTGATGCTTGAAAACAACTAATATGGGTAGGCCGTGATTTTTATCCATTAACCAATATAGTTTTCCATGTAAATTGCTTGTGTCTTTTAAGTTTCTACACTTTACTTAGTGTTTGGTACTGAAAGTTATAGGTCAAAGAACCAGGTTTCTTCACACGAAAATTGAGCAAAACACACTTCATCCTCTCTCGTGTCTAGGTGGAGTTTAAAATAACAAAGTGCTTACAAATTAAAAACGTGAAAGCACAAAACACCATTTTAAGATGGACAAAGTAAAGGCAAACGTAAAATAGAACCGAAGGCTGATGCTGACAAAGTGCTACAGCAACATGGTCAACGTGCTGTTTGGTGTTTGTCCAGATTTTCTTACCTTAATTGATTTTCTTATTTCATGAAGGAAAGGATAACATATTTACATAATTGGGTTTTCCTTTTTGTAGAAGGAAATTATAATTCTTCCATGTTTAGCTAATCCCTTTTCTTATAGGAAAATATTTGGATTTTTATAAATTGAGGAGCCTTACTTCTCATTCAGTAGCATCCACAATATAGTCATATGAGGTTTGATAGTCGTGTTTAGAGGGAGAACTTTACGGGACAAGTGTTAATGTGTCACTTGTGTTTGCCTCTTCGTGAAGTTGTTCTCTCGATATTTTGTACTCTATTTTTATATAGTGGATTGCTCGTCTCCGCTGTGGATGTAGGTCAGTTGACCGAACCATGTTATATGTTTGTATCTCTTTTGGTATATTTCTCTTTATTGTATAATTTATTGTCGTTCAAGGTATGCTTTGCTAGCTTCCGCATGACACCAAGTTTTTTCGGTCCTAACACATACTACTACTTCGACAATGATCTTTGAACTCTTCTCAGCAAAAGACAATATAGAAAAAAATCCGACAAACAAAAAATGCAGAAATCAGAAGGTTTCAACAAGGAATTATCATTCATTTAGTACAATATTTCATAATAAAATAAAATATAACAAGGGCAAAGTCGATTTTAAAAACTAGATAAACCAAACTCATCCAATCCCTTGGTATCCACTTCATCAGCTTAATCTTGAAGGGACTGAAGTGTTAATACTTGGTACACTCATAAAAATAGTAAGGTTCACTTTCTACAGGGCATCATATCAATTTTACAATAGATAAGCCAAAATAATACGTTAGAAGTAGTAACATACCGAACAATGAATACTCAAGGTGGGTAATGCATTACATAACATAAGCTAGAGTGACCAAATCACTGGTGAAGTATAATCAACTTATCAGCCACTAAGCCGATACCTGCTTTCTCCATATAATCAAAGGTTTCTAAAGAGAAAAATGCATCCACATAGGTCCCACGAATGAACAAGCTCTCTAGTTCCGCGGAGTCAAAATTACTAGACTCAACTTTTTGGAAGGTGGAAGATTCATTCTGATATCTCTCTATCTGCGTCCTCCAGTGAACAGTGTTACCATCCACTCTAGCATTCAAGCTGCAAAATAAACAATCAAAAAGTGAAATATGATCAAATGAAACATAAAAACATGGTAAAAGCCTATAATGTTCCAGATATGAGCTCAAAGAACAGAAATATGGGACTATGGAAAAAATTATGCAATCGAGAGACCCTTTGGGCCTTGTATTGAGAATGGAGATGAAAGGAACTTCATATGTCAAAGAACTACATTTGTTAGTAAAGCAGAGAGATCATATACGTGATTTTCCTTTACCCATATGAATATGTCAAAGCAATTCTAGTTCATCTATGAAAAGTAACTACCAAATCAGCAGCATGTAATCGTCTCTTAGTGGAGATCATAGCACTAAATCATCGGTAGAAAACAAAGAAGAAAGAAGTGACTTACTCGGATATCTGAATTGAGGTTATCTTTCCTGATGAAGAAATGTTCAGTAACTTACCGCAATCGAACGCTCTGATATTCTCTGTTAACCACAGGCAACCATTCTGAGTCACCACCGCAATCCTTGTACCTCTGCTCAACAAGAATATCACACTCATCCAGAACTTCACGTAAACACGAAGAGGCACCCACCACAAAAGTGAGTGGACGATTAGCATCATCAAACTTTCTAATTCCAAGCTGCACCTTGAGGCGACTACAATGCAGCTTCAAATCAATGTCATTGTGCATAATATGTATTCTTGGGTTTCCATCATAAGGGATTGCAAAAGTAGAAGGTATCGAAACTTCTTCAGGAGAAATCCATGAACTTTGAAGTACTTCAGGAAAAATAGACTCATGCACATAAACAAAAATATATAGTTGCCCAGACTAAAGTAACGTTCATGTAGTAACTAGTAAGGACACCAGCATCAGAAGACCTTTATATATGGCTGATTCAACCAACTATTCAGGTGTCCAAGTTCATTTTTCCAAATTATGACTTTCTTCCTATGAAAGGAACTTCAACTAAAATCAGTTACGTCCTTCTTAATGGTTCTCGACTTAAGCAGTTGAGTAAATATGCAACAACACATTTGATCAAATGGAAGTCAGCTCCAATATATTACAATTAAGATATGCCACACAGCACAAGACTATACCCTGTGGAAATACTATTTGTTGACAGTATACACATATAAAATAAATGATCATTCAGTTCCATATTGAGGATCAGATAATGTGTTGTAGTTATATGGGCCATGCATAATTTGTCATGGAGTGAATCAGGCAGGGAAATATCCCAGTCCTTAATCTTATGTGGAGGGTGCAGGGTAAAAGTATTCCATAGGATGATAGATTCAGTTACCCCTGCTTCAGTTCTCCCCTCTCCCCCACCGGCACCACCCACTGACCTCACTACCCACAGTATGTACGTACATACAGACATGACTTCATATTATGTATTCTCAGACTGATTATTTGATATGCTTAAGTATAGACTGATTATTTTGTTTCCATTTTGCTGAATGCAACCTTACTAATCACAGAATTCGTGTGTCGAGCACTTTGGAGTATAAATAACAAGCTTTTGATACATTTACACATAAGATATTTTTGCGTCTACGATTTAATCTCATCTCAGACTTCATCTTTAACAAAATTCAACATCTATCAAACTAGACTGAAGATAAAAAACGAGAAGGTTTGGCCCATAAACTCTCACTATAACAATCTGAAGTATGTAGCACCAGAGCCAATCAACCCCTCAGTCAGAAACTGGGACAAGAGCACTATTATAAAAATTACTATATATTTATATTTACAGATGATCATTTCAAGGTGAACTAGATGTAGTCATCTCTGTTACCCAGATAGATAAGAGAGGTATATAATTCTTTCAGATAATGGGGATCACGATTCAGATCCCATTGTTTGGATGAGCTTTTCAAAGAATAGATATCCAAATCTACAAATTGTTAAATTTCTCTATCAAGATATTTAAGTAAGGCCGCCCACTTGTTCAAAGAATTATTAAATCAATATGAACCAACAAGAAGTTTCAAGAGGTTATTTTAAGAAAAATAAATTCAGAATCTTAAGAATTTCAATGTCGGATGGGTGAGGCAGCCGTCTGCGAAAGAAAAAGCCAATCGTAGACCTGAAATAGAGCAAAAGAGTAGTTACTCTTACCAAGAATAAAACAGTTCCACAGTGCTTGAGAACTTCAAGATTCATCCGGACATCAGGCAAACTCCTGAAAGTATCAGAGAATTTTTATGGAGGTATCACAACAGAGAGGAAGAGAAAAGGGCAAACGAGAATTAACTCCTTAAAGAGTTAAAATTAGAAAGTACAAGAAGAACTGCTTTTCATATGCAATAAATGGAGAATCAATCGTTTCACTGCAAAAGATTAAGAAGTCAGCTAATTGATCCCTCCGCTAAAAGAAAAGCTCTGATCTAAGAATCAAATTATTCGTAATACAAATTAATATCCATACTTACCTATGTGGTTGCTCTTCAAACCGAAAATAAGCTGCGAGACTAGACAACTGCCAGAAACATTATCACTCAAATTAGTATCAGAATTTCTGGATAAGAGAAAGACTAATAAAAAACTCATTGATCCCAGTCTTGGTGCATGGAAGATAGATCTGTGCACCAACTTTGTGATTCACGTGAACCAGCCTTGACAGTTTCTAGACATATCATTCATGGTTAATCAAAGAAGATAAAACAAATCTGTATAGCCCATGGTTATTTTGCTTTCCTCAGCCCTAACTTCACATATCCGCTATATATAACACTAACTAAACTTATAGCAGTGTTATCTACTAGATACTTGCTACTTCCCACTAGCACAAGTACACAGTAACTTTGTCTACCAAGTTCCATTTGTCTCTGCTGTCGTTTGGAGCCTGGTCTTCCTGTTCCATTCCAGCTTAATTCACTGACTGCTATGCTACACAATTGGGTGCAAAAGTCTTGCAACTATAGTCAGGATTTTAAACTTTAGAGACTTTCCAGGGGGAGTTTCTAATTCTTTAACTGCATAAATTTATGCCTTCGATTCAGAGTCATCATCTAGGGAAAAACATATCGAAAGGAAAAAGTAATAAAGACTAAATACTTTGGTGACTGTATTTGGCTGAAAGAAGCTGGTTTTTCTAATGGAGGTGCAAATTCTGTAGACAACATTCACCAAGTTAAGGATACCTTCATTTGACCAGCTCTCCTTCCAAACGGTTTTGTTAACTGTTAGCGGAAACGTAAAAGAAAGAACACAAAATTTAACGTGGTTCGGATCAAAATAATCCTACGTCCACCAGAGAACAATTGCCCTTTTAATATTAAAAAAGGAAGGGGAGATTTCCCCATTACACTTAAGAGAATTTCTCTCTTAACTCTCTACTCACTACAATGT